GAAAATATTAAATGTTCTTTAAATTGAAAGCCAAATCAGTAGTTAGCCTTAACTACATGTGAAGAAAACTAACTACACTACTTAACTGCACGTGAAGAAAACGCAGATTCGCCCAGATAGTTAAAGATAATATTATTACCATATTAGTCGCCCAGATAATTGAAGGTAATTGATTACGATAACTTACAGTAATTCTCGATGACTGCTACACTGCACTGAAGCTATTATAATATTTTACTTGTATAAAACACTGAAGTTTATTAAACTAAAGGTAGTTTATACTAATTTTTAATCTAATATGATATTAGAAAGAAACTCAAATATATATATATATATATATATATATATATATATATATATATATATATATATATATATATAAATATAAGTGTATACACACTTAAAAAGAAAAAATTCACAGAAACAGCAAGAGACGGTAATATTAGCAAGCGTCTTTCCTCAAAGACGACCCTGCCAGAAGTCCTTACTCAAAGACAGCCCGGCTAGAAATGCTTACTCAAAGACAGCCCGGCCAGAAATAATCTTCTTTCTCTCAAAAATTTCACAAGCTTCCCAAAAAAAGGTGGGGTGACTCACACTTAAAAATGACAGGCCAGCCTGTATGTATTTCTAGCGGCTTCCCACGGTCGGCGATATTGCGGACGTAAGCGGACCAGCACGCACCACGCACCGTGGGAAGGGTCTCGTCCGTGGTAGCACACGCACATCCGTGCTGGTGCGTTCTATCCATCTAGAGTCGGTAACATCAAAGGTGCGGTTCATGCTCGTGCGACGCGATCCTAGCGCGTCTGTGTTTTAACAGACGACAAGTACAAGTCAGAAGTTTTTCATTCGCTGACACGAGTAGTTGTCTGTAGTGTTGTCAAAGTTGTTTTGCAGTTTTTTGCTGAAAAATGGAACAAACAAACGAAGTTGTTTTTAATTTTTTAAATTTGTATCAAGATGAACGAAGTTTGTGGAACTCCACGGCGCCAGAACATAAGAACCGGAACGATGCATACGATGCATGGAACCGAATAAAAAAATCAATTGAACAATATTACTATTTCGATTAAAGAATTAAAAAAGAAGAGAGATAATTTAATGTCGACATACAGAAGGCAAAAAACAAAAGTTAGAGAATCGATAGGAACTGGTAGTGGGGCTGATGATGTTTACAAGCCGGAGTGGCTGTTTTATGATATAATCAAACACTACTGTCACGGACCTACACAGACTGTCACGTACCGTAGGAAGAGCTCTGTCTACGGTGCGTTGCCGTCCGTGATGATCGGCTGTCCGCGATGATCTGTAGAATTGCCGATCGTGGGAAGCCACTATAAGAAGGTAAAAGGTTCTAAAGACATCAAAAATAACGATACCCTTCTAGCTAGGAACGTGAGGAAAATAAATCCTTTTAAATTAGGCTTTTACAGAAAAATGCCATAAAAGTGCGTTCGACGATATTGTTTGCCAAAGTATCAAACAGAAACCCTCCTTAAACCGGAAACAATTAACCGAGGATTACCTTAACCGTCGTCTTTTAATAAGTAAATTCGTCCGTAATTTGAGGTAGTCGGTAGATTGCAATAAAATTTCCTAATCGTAATATCTCACCACCTCTCCCTCTTCCAATGGCGCTACAGCCCAAATCGGGCCTTGGCCTTCTCCAAACTATTCCTTCCAACCTTAGTATATAGTATATTAACAAAAGCAGTATCAATAGACACGTGTAAACACCATTACCTAGATGCAGACTACAGCAATATTGGTAAGACTTTTATAAACTTAATTTGACTATTATCTATATAACCGTTTATTTCCTGTCCTAATTATTTAAACCAGCCTTATTTAACTAAAACAGTGGTCGCCAACCTCTTCAATGTGTTGAGCTACTTTGTTAATTTTGGAATAAACAGCGAGCTACCCACACGAAAGCCACGTAAAGGAACGTAAATGAAATAATCCACAGTTAATCTATCATTATATGTATTTATTTTACTGTTTAACTGGTAATACATAGGTACTAATAATAAACTAATAACAAAATAACTAATATTACTAGTATGTACTTGCTCATAGCTACATTCTTACCTATCAAACGGAGGTATTTGAAAAATAAACACAAACTTTTATCTAACCACAACGGCATGTCACGTATTATTTAAAAATAGTTAATGATAACAACAGAAATGTAACGCACTATCATAAACATAAACATTGAAAAATAAAAAAGCACGTTCAATGAGAAGGCTCAGAAGACTCAGACTCATCGATAATTTTTTTAATGTTTGCAGTATAATTTGATGCAGCCATTCAAATACAATTATCCAAATGTTCATCTGTAAGTCGATTGCGATATTTGGTCTTAATAAACTTAATATATAAATAAGAAGATTCGCACAAATAGGTTGAACTGAATAATGCTTTCACTTTCAAGGCAATACGGCATAGAACTGAATATTTGTATTTACTTACAATAGGCCAGATACATTTAGTACTTGAGACTAACGATTTTAAGGCTAAATCATTTTAAAACTCAATGACTTCCATTTCTGTTGCAGCGATGTCTTCGCCAAAATTCTGCATAACACAAGCTGCAAACTGCTGGATATTAATTTCCATAAAGGGTGAAACAACAAACTGCGCTACTAAAGCCATTTCATTGAAATCCTTAAAACGATTTTTGAAGTTACTCTTCAGGGTAGAAATTATTTCTTTATAATATTTGTTGTTATAGGGTTCTAACGGATTTTGAGATATTTTTTTTGAAAGAATAGGAAAATGCTTGGAATCGCTGTTAATTAGGTTTTGTTCCCAAAACTCCAGCTTTTCAATAAATGCTTTTATATCAGAAATCATTTCCGCTAGTTCTTTGTCTCTCCTCTGAAGCTGCAAATTACGTTCGTTTAATTTCTCTGTAATGTCCACGAGAAAACCAAAATTTCTAAGCCAGATTGAATTTTCTAGTTCCGAAGTCGGTTAATCGCATTGTTTGAAAAATTGAAATACGCGAGATAGGATATCATTAAAACGTTTCAGCACCCGTCCTCTACTTAACATCGGACTTCAGAGTAAAGAAGTAGGTCCCCATATTGGCAGTCAACTTCATCGGCCAAGGTTATGAATAATCATCTTTGTAACGCTTGAGCTCTAATCTTGTTGACAATTTTTACCACCAGTTTCATAACGTTGTTTAGTTTCAGGAAATTTCCACATAATGCTTGTTGATGGATAATGCAGTGGTAACAGAGAAATTGCGGAAAAGTTTCATCTTTACGACATATCGCCACCAGACCTTTATCACAACCCACCATAGCTGGAGCGCCATCGGTTGTCTACCATTTTCGATATTGGAATTTTCTCGGAAGAAATAATATTTTTTAAATGAGAAAACAACTCCTGTCCAGTGTGTCCTTTTAGTGGAATAAACTTCAAAAGATCTTCTTTAATCGTAAAATCACTAAAAACCATCCTGACGAACACGGCCATCTGGGCAGTGTCAACGACATATGTTGATTCATCCAGTTGAAGTGAAAAATAAACACAGTTATCTAAGTCAGTTCTTAACTGTAAAAAAATATCATTGCTCATTACTTCTACACGTCTCATCACTGTATTAGCAGAAAGTTGCATAGATTTTATAGCTGAAACTATCTCGTCTTTATTTCTAAAGTTGGCAAATAACGAATCAGCAGCTTCTAAAAACGCCTGTTTTATCATTTCCCCGTCTTCATAAGGTTTCTTTTTTTGTGCAATTATCTAGGACACACGGTACGATGCTTCAGTTGCAACCTTATTTTTATCGACTGGTCTTAAAAATATTGATTGTTGTCCAATTAACTGTTTTTTTAACTGTTTCAGTTTCTCCTTTCTGGCGGCAGAATGTAGTGGGAATGATTTTTCAAAATTACAATGTATAGTTTTATAATGTCTCTCAATATTTCCTTTTTTAGTAGCAACGGAGACCGAAGTATTACATAACAAACACACATTTTTATCTTTAACCTTTATAAAAAGTATTTTTCTTCCCATTTCGAATGAAAGAGGTATGTCTTTACCTTCTTACAACTGCTTGCCATAATATTATTTTTGTTGTTCCCTACTAATCCAACCGCTAGACGTTGGTTATGCGTTCAGTTTTAAACTAAGCGCAACGTCGCCGCGCCGTGCGTATTTATCCCGTTTAATGCAATCCAGATCGTTCTCGAACACTACCGGCTGGTTGGTTCTATAAATAGCCGATTCTAGCCGAGTCAGGGGCAGATCGCTCACCGCAACGTTGCCGATGTTTAATATTATGACAATTAGATTTTTTTTGTGGAATTTTCAGAAGTTTCTCTGATTTTTGTAGTTTGCATTTTTTAAATTAAAATCGTTGTAAGAACTACCAGAATTGCCTCCGGGAGCTACCGGTAGCTCGCGATCGACAGGTTGGCGACCACTGAACTAAAATATCCAAATTTTCGTCTCGTTGCTAGCGCAATAACAATCAGAGAGTGATCTCACAACGTGCGTTTTTGACAGACACATGTATAGTGGAAAGAAAAACGTCTTCTTAGTTTAATCGCGATAATCAGAGAAATGTGATAAAATATTCGTTTTTAACAGACACATACAGAGCGAAGAGAAAAGCGTCTATTGTTACCGGTAGTCACCAACCAATTAAGTGTTTATTTTTTATTTTCTAAGGGATGTCGGTATTACTTTAGGGTAAGGTTAGAGTTGGAGTAGAAATAATTACTAAGGGTTGGATTAAGGTAATGATTTTTAATACTAAAGTTTATAGGAATTATTATAGCGAATAATGAAACATGGGTTTTCGCATGCGAAACATTAGACAACCCTTAACTAGAAATATGCTGGAAACATGAAGGAATAAGAAAAGGAGGAGGCCTTACACAGAGGATATTTATAACATTTATAACAAAATAGGTTAATAATAAGTAGTTTAAGACTGTTAAAATAAATACTTTATTTCCAAAAAATAATATTAAAACCAACCTCTTTCTGTAGCTTCTTCACACATAAGTAAAATCTTTTTAAGTGCTATATCAGGTATATCTTCGACAGTAAGACTAGACTCTTCATGTTGAACTGCTTTTCCTTTTTCTCCAAAAATAACTGTTGGTATCATAAAAATCGCTTGGATCATCCCCTCTCTACCTTCAGTTTTAATTTCTTCCAAAAATTTCTGATATGAATATTCGTCAGTATATAAATCCAGTTGTTTTATTATATCCACGAATTCCCTATAGTAATATTCAATAAGGTTATCTAGATTATTTTGAAGACAGCTCAGTTCGACACTACTAAACAGAAGAAAAATCAGGTCGATGGTAGGTGATCCAATTTGACACATTTGGAAGTCAACAAATTTGTTTTTAATTGCTGTACCATTTTCGATAACTTGCATTGTATTATTGATCCACATATCATGATGTATTACTGTCGCAAATCCTTTAATTGGTTTATTAGAAAATATGCTTTCTGGATTTTCATCCATGCGTTTCTTAAAGTCGGCCAGCATTTTGCCGAAAGCCTCAGCTGCTTTATATTTCTTATTCTTGTTCAATTCTTTTGTTATTATTTCAAATATCTTTGGTGGTGACTTATCTTTTTTTTCTTTGTGTGGTAATAAAAGAGACAACTTTTTAATTATAGTGGCAAATTCTTCAGAGTCTTTTAGTCTCATTGCCATTGGTGCAGCATGAAACTTTGCCAGATCTTTTAAAATAAGTCTTGTTGTAGTCAAATCGAAGCCGATATGTCTGTCTAGGTTTTTATATCCTACAACATACAAATAATAATATTGTATTAGTTAATATGTGGAAAGTAGTAATTTTGGTACATTATTTTAAATTTATATGTCTCAATATCTAGGATCATTGATGCAGTTACAATAAGTAATAACCATTTATACAACTTATCACAAAATATATTACTATATTAGATAAATAATAATTTGCAACTCGTTATTAGTAAAATCTACAAGTTTGGTGAGGATTGTATATGATTCCTTAGTATTTCTTCGTTGAAATATTTGTCGTTCAATATCTTCGCAAAAATAAGATTTTACAACGAACTTTAATTTATTAAAAGCTCAGAAAATGTTGTTTTGATACTTAATATCGCGTGGGACTCTGCATTAGGTATTTGTAACCTATTTGACAACGCTCTGAAGATGGCATAATTTTTTTAATAATGACGCTGACTCTTAAGTTTTAACCTTGTTTAGGCTTGCGCCTCTTCAAGGGATGGGGAACTCCTCTTTTTTTGACGGAGTTGTGGGGGGTTTGAGAAAAACGTCAATTGAACGAAACGCGAGCTAAGAAGTAGAGAATTACTAAGAAAAAGAGGGAAAAGAAGGTGGTTTTTGTGTGATCGATAAGAATCGATAAAATGCACAAGAAGAAGTTGGGTTTGCCTAGAATAATCTCAATTAAAATTGCAATCTATCAAAAAATAACGAATAATGATAAAAAATGACGAATAAGATGATTATTTACACAGTGTGTAGAAGCGTCTTCCAGTATAGAGTTCCTTTTCTCTATTAAGCAACTGTAATTGTTACCTATTTATTATGAATAGTTTAATTAAAAAGTATGTAAGTTAAAAGCAATAAAATAATAAAACACAATTATGACTGCATATCACCTAATTAAGGTAGAATTTACAATACAGTTAGTTTTCCATAAACATTAAATATGTTTGGTAGATAATTTGGTTAAAAACGTTTCAGCCTACATACTTTAACCCTCCGTTAGTCGCTATCGGTCTCACACACCGACGACAGAATTATTCATTTGGGATTTACAAATAACTGTTATTTTTCTATCGCTACTTTCTGTACCTCTCCCTATCAACCAAACTCGTGTTATTGTACATTCTTACATTCCTGGGTATAGTTGTGTAAGTTTTACAGTTATTTTCGGTGCCAGAGTCCGTAGCGACTAACGGTGTAGCTATTATTTGTTGCAGAACTTGCAGAACAGGTAAATATTTATCATCTTATTATTACGTTTTATCGGTAAGTTTTTGTCAATTCTTATTTATAGATGTTCTTTGAAGCCAAACAAGTTTGACTCCAACTCTTGTTGGAATTATGGACATGTTTCCTACCCACTATGAAAATTATTTTGACGATAAGGGAAGTGAAAGCGAAATAGATCAAATTGAGGTGGTGATGGTGAAAATGAATCGAAACAAGATGTGACAGATGAGAAAAACGAAAGTGGAAGTAACACCTTAGCGTTTATTGAAAAATATAGCGTTACTAGATGAAAAAAGGCTGTTCCACCGTAAAATGTTTGAACAAGACAAGAAAATTATATAGTACGTAATACAAACTAATGTTTGTATTTTGAGAACGATATCCGATGTGCAAATTAAAACATCAATGAACTTACTTTAACATTTAATTGTGGCTTATTCCCATTTAAACAGTAATTAGTTAAAAATACCACAAGAAAATAGCTTCAGAACAATATTCACAATATATTGTTATACTAGTGTTTTTCATTTTATATCTGTTTTTTTTTTTCAAAAAAATATTTTCAAAAATATTTTTTAGTTATTCCTATACACAATATAAAATATTTGTATGAATTTTATAATAAAAACAATTTTTTTTAATTGTCGGTCTCAGACACCGTAGCGACTCTTGATGCTCAGTTTTTCCTAGCGACTAACGGAGGGTTAATATTGTCATCGAATAACCGCTTCGCGAGTACATTGGGATGCACTTTTATCCGTTCATCATATTTGACACTAATGTTTTACAACTTTTCTTTCCAAAGGCACTTTAAGATCTTTTTCTACAGGGTAGAATATAAAGTGATATGGAGCATTTACTGTAGAACTTTTTTTTGGAAGCTCTGGAGGTTCGCAAGATTAGAATTGCTAACGGTTCCCCATAGCTGAATTCCATAGGTGTATATGGACTTGAGGATCCCCTTGTGTATAATCAGTTTGATGTCAAATGTTAGTTTAGAGTTTCGACCAATCAGCCAGTACATACGTCTTAATTTAATGCTCAGTTAATTTATTTTGATAAATATAGGCTTCTGACAGCTTAGTCGTTTCTCAATATCGATGCCCAAGTATAATTTATAGGTTATTTGTAAATTTTCAGCTGCTTGTGTGGCAATAGAGTCCATGGCTAGTATTCCCGGTGTCATCCACAAAAGTAGCAACTTCTATGTTACTGGTGATAGGTCCCAATAGGCTTCCTTGTAAAAACACCTGCTGTGATACGGCTGAGGTGTATTTATCGTGCCGCGCTACAATAAAGTATCTTTCTATATATATATACATTCGGTTTTATAACGTCTTACGACGTTGTACGACTCCCAACCGCCACTGTATTCGGTCTTGAGTTAGGTCTTCGTCGAGATTTCGAGCGCTAATCGCTTTCCTAACTCCCAGGTTCCAGCTCTGTGGTGGTCTTCCTCGTTTCCTCTTCTCTGGGGGTTGCCACATCATCGTTTTTTTAGGCAATCTTCCGTCCCCCATTCGGCTCACATGTCCATACCATATGAGCTGTTTTCTCTCAATATCCTCAACTATAGTGCCCTCTATACCCATTTGTTGTTTTATCACTTCATTCCGTATTCTGTCGGCTCTTGATATTCTCATCGATCTTCTGATGGCATCCATTTCCGTGGCTTCGACCTTTTTCTTATATTTCTCGGTTATTCTCCATGTCTCAGCTCCATAAAGTAGGCTAGTTTTAACCATTGTCTCATAAATGTTCCATTTTCTTTTCTTTGATATTTCTTTACTCCATAGAACTCCGTTCAAACATGCTATAGCTCTTCGTGCTTGTACAATTCGATGTTCTATTTCTCGTTCGTCTTTTCCACTACGGTCGAAGATGACGCCCAGGTATTTATATTCGTCACATGGATTTACTTTTTGATTGTCATCGATATCGAGTTGTTCTGCTTCAGCTCCAATTGAGAGGTATTTTGTCTTTTCTAAATTGATATTTAATCCCCATTTCTGGTATTCTTCAATTAGTTTTCTAAGCATGTATTCCATGTCGTCTTTGTCATTTGAGATCACCACCTGATCATCTGCAAACTGTAAAGTATATATGTAATCCTGATCGTTCAATTGTATACCCATTCCTTTGACTTTCCTTTTCCATTGTTTCAGAGCTGCAGAGATATAACTCTTAAACAGAGTCGGAGAGATACAACATCCTTGTCTGAGACCCTTAGTAACTGCAAATTTTTCAGCTAAGAGATTTCCGAATTTCATTTGGGAGTTTGAACCATAATATAGATCTTTGAGAGCACTAACTAATGTTTGATGTATATTTGATGTGCCCAGGACTTCCCATAGTTTATTTAGCGGGACTGTGTCATATGCCTTCTCAAGATCTACAAAAGTCATATGTAACTCTCTATTTGTCACAACTTTCTTTTCTATAATTTGTTTAAGACAGAAGATGTTATCTGTACATGAACGACCTGCTCTAAATCCTCCTTGTTCTTCGTCTTCAGACGATTGATAATCTTCCTCTATCAGGTCCCGTAGTATTCGACCGTATAGTCGACTCATTGAACTTGTGACCGATATCCCTCTATAGTTTTTACTATAGAGGGATATCGGTATCTTTCTGAGAGGTAGAATTTTAGGAGTTGATATAAAGGATATGGGAATTATTTCATTATATTATGTATAAAGTAGACCTTTATTTCAAAGCTTATAAATGCCTTGAATGACGTTTAGGCAGGCTGTTGGAAGGTAGGATTTACTTTTCAGCATGTCAGAGATTTGTTTTATTATTTTGTGGATCTATTCCATTGTGCCATGTTTTAACCTGAAGCTAAATTAATGGTCCGGAATAAATTTAGTTTCTTCTAAGATTGGAATTAACCTTTTGAATAGAAGCTTTTTGAACACCCTTGATAAAATCAGCAGAAAAAACATAGGTTTATAAGATTTTAGGTCGTCTGGTTTTTTTAGGTGTTGGTGTCAGGATAATCCGTAAAATTTTCCACTGACTTGAAAAGTAGCCTGTTGTGATGTTGGCATTAAAATGCACAGCATATATTTGTACTCTTTTATTATACATTCTCGCAATAACGCCTGTTATCAAAGAAGATGGTATGTCACATGCCGAAAGTACTCAAAGTTTTACGTACTATCAACCCATATTTTAGAATCGTGTCCAAGTCATACAGTGATTTTCCAATTAACTAATGATATAAGTTATTGGTCTTCTAAGGTTTCACAATCTTATTTCACAATAGTACCTGCTACGTGGGGATACAGCTACAGCTGCCCGCCACGACTTTATTACAAAAAGGCTAAAAAAGATCAAAGCAGTAGTCTTATTCTTTTGCAAAACAGAAGCCCTTTAACAAAACCTTCCAAAGCTAACACAAAAGAAAACAGGCTCTTTAGAACGTCATCTCCACAACCTCTGCCATCTTACTACCTTAACTCTTTCAAAAACATTCCCTAACCTTACGGAGGTTTAAAAAAGCATAAAACAAGGATTTTTCTTGTTACTACTCCCTACTTCCATTGTAATTTATCGATTACAAATTGCTTTATAAAGAATGGAAAATTATCCTTTGAATTTAGCACTTAAGTTAAAACTATAGTTGAAAAAGCGTAAAATAATCCAATTTTAAATAAACCAGCATAATAAAAAAAAAACTATGTTATATCAACATTGCTAGATATTATTTGGCGTAATTATTTAAGCATTTTGTGTGAGTAACCTTGCATTTATTTAAATACTGTCAAATAGTTCTATTCATTATCTCACCGCG